GATTGCGGTTTTCATCGTATCAACTTACTACCTACCACAGAAAATAAGATTCAGGCCGCCATCATAAGGTAGTAAGTATGTCTTATGCTAATTATGTACAGATAGCATCGTTCCTGACATGTGCTCTACCAATTCATAAATCTTGTGCTATCATAAAAATTTATTGGAAACAAACCCAAGCCTTCATAATTTTATTTTATTGAATTGATGTCCCTATGTTGAGCACGAATGTTTGCATGTTGCTTGCTAGTCCACTTCACGGCGCACCTTCATACGCATTGAACGAACAATCAAAAACATATATAAATATATGATGCTGCCCTTTATGATGTGAATTGTCAAGATCACAAAGTCTTCGAGCGAAACTATGGCTCAAAAATAGCAGTAAACTTGGTCAACAGGAAAAAATACCGTACGCGTAATTGTATGTAAGGCAACATCTTAACTATTGAGAAGTTTTACTGTCAAGCCAAGCTTTTTCCTGTGTCTAAGGATTTTTTAAGATAAAAATGCTCAGCTTCTCTTCAAAGGCCACTTTTCCTGAGATATTATTGCAATAATCTCTGATTTCTTTCTCTGTGCATTTCGGTGTATTTTTCACGGCGGGGAAGCATCCTGGAATGTGAATTTTACCTTGACTGAGGCTTATTTGAGAATGTTCCGTACCTGAGTTTAATATTTTCTCCCAGTCAAATCGTTCTACTGAAATTGGCACAGCAGCGGAAAAAGTGGTAGAGTTAAGCTCAGCCTGGAAAATCATTGAAAATTATTACAAAGCTAAGATAAATCGTCACCTATTCATGTGTGTAAACATTGTGCTTTCTCAAAAGCCTGTTCTTGCCGCTTTTGCGTTTTCTGGGCTTTTTCGGAAGGTTAGGCCCAGGTAAGCGAAAAAGCTGCAGATTGAGTTTCTGCCCGCACACTTTCTTGAGTTCAGCGAGTTTCACTTTGAAAAAATTTGAGAATTTAACTTAAGAATTACCGCTTTTACAGCAGCACCGATTTCTTCTCGGGTCGGTGCGAGCTTCCTCCACAGCAACAAGCAGTTATCAGGGACAGGAAGAGGCGGATTTTTCGGCCGAGTCAATATGATGATAGGTGCATTTTCTGAAAAATGAGAGATTTTTTCTTGGCTCGATTATTGCATGTGCACTCGTTGGCTACATATTACTGACGTGTATCTTTTCGCTATGCAACTGCTCTAGTTTCAGATTAGCATAAAAGATGAGAGGTTTTTAAGCAAAATGGAACTTAGAAATAGATGAGAGATTGTTTACAAAGGATAAATGCGCAATAAATACCTTTGAGAAGAAGTTTCAACTTTTTGAGGAACGCTGCCATGTCTGCAACTTCGTGAGTGAGTTCGTTAAGAATAATGAGGTCGAATGGTCCAATCTAAATGCGTTAAAGTAAAATAGTCATAGTTATAAGTACTACCCAGCACTCTTTGATTGAAAAGAGTAAGGCACAACTGGGAGATAATGCTGATCCAACGAACTTTTTACAAGAAAGCTGATT